GTTGTATTATGAGCGGAAGTAACCTCAATAAAGTTTGGTGTCACAGTTTACTCCCGTAAAGACGAATGAGAAAAAAGAGAAGATTAAATTATGATTACATTTAAATTCTCACGTAGTAAGCCAAGCTTTTATCATGGTGGATTCAAAGTAGCGTGAGGAGTGAATCACCACTATTGATGTCATAAAATTATTTTCATTATTATGCGAAATAAAAGAATATCACATTGTGAAATAAAGATAGATTATTAGAATGGATTAAGAACGATAGAGAGTGAAGAGTAGGAGAAGAGAGGATGAGAGAGAGAGAGAACACAGGAGTAAGAAGTGAGAGAGAGGGAGAGAGAGAGAGACGAAGACAGAGAGTAGTAGAGAGAGAGGAGAGATGAAAAATGTATTAAAAAATTTACTCACAAAAATTAAAACATAATAAGTGATATTATATAAATAAATACATTAATTAACCATCCAGAATAGCACTAATAACATCATGTATACATACTACTGATGATATCTGAATAATACATATATAATACTATAATAATATGCAGCATAGCTACATGAACATAAAAGAAATAATGCTAATATAGGGTATATAACTTATAATTAGAAGCTATAAACTACATGATATAATATAATCTCTTCACATGGTAAGAATGAAGTAAAACTTAAAATACTAAACTACCTGTGGATAGACATAGGTGAGTAGAAACAATCCACAACCAAACTACCACTCTCTCACAGATGCACACACACTTACAACAACACACACTCACAGACCACAACACACACACACCACACACACACACACACACATAGCACACAATACACAACACATTTCGTATCACACACACACACATACACAACACACACACATACACAACACACACACACACCACACCCACACACACACACATCACACACACACACACACAAATCTTATCATTAATAATAGCACCAACACACACACACCATTACACAGGACACCACACACACACACACACACACAGTTGACACACACACACACACACACATTATATAATATATATATATATATATTATTATATTATATATATTAATATATATATATAAATATAATATTAATATATATATACACGTAGTATAGTATATATATATATATATATACTATATATCATTATATATATGAGTACAACGTATATATATATATATATATATATAGTATATATATATTATATATTATATATAGTTATATATTATATATATATATTATATAATATTTACACGTATATTTATAGTAGCATATTAATATATATATATATATATTAGTATACTAATATTTAATATATATATATATAAATATATATATGTATATATATATAATATATATAATATATATTAATATATATTAATATATATATATGTATATATATATATATATATAATATATAATATATATATATATATAATATTATAATATATATATATATATAATTATAAATAGTAATATAATATATAATATATATATTATATACATATATATATATATACTATAATATAATATATATATATATATATAATATTAATATATATATATATTATATATATATATATAGACACCACACCACACACACACACAGTGAGAGAGAGAGAAACACGCAGACAAGACAGACGAACCGAAGCGGGCGGCGGCTAAGGAGGAGGCGGCAAGCGAGCGAGCGCGACCCCGAAACGCACCGTCCCGAGGAAGGTCACGTTGCATAAACGCCGGAATCTCCTTAAATCATTTAGGAGAACTCGTGAAGGGAGGGGAGAAGCACCAGATCCATGTCCTCTTTTATCAACCAGCAACCCATAAGGAGGAGTTTGTTCAACAATGGGCTAGTCTGAAAATGGAGAGGGACTGAATCACTCTTACCCTGATAATTGTTATGGCCAATATGCTTGATATAGACCTCCTTCACAAAGGTGCTTTGGGGCCGGTATCACCAAACATAAAAGGATGTTGTTACCTTTTTGTGAGAAAAAGAGGAGAAAAAAATATAATAATGAAAATTCCACCAGATATTTAAATCCTCATATTTGCATATATTGTGTGAGGAGAAGTAGGCTTGAGGAAGAATGAGGAAGAAAGTGTGTATGTAGATGTAATCCTAGAGAGAAAATGTCGCGAGAGAGAGAGGGAGAAAGGAGATGGGAGAGGGGGAGGAACAAAGGGAGAATTTGCGAAAGGGAGGAGGAGGGAGGGGAGGGGGGATGGTGAGGAGAGGAGGCGAGGAGGAGAGAGAGAGAGAGGAGAGAGAGAAGAGAGAGGAGAGAGAGAGAGAGAGAGAGAGAGAGAGAGGAGAGAGAGGATGAGAGAGGAGAGAAAGGGAGAGAGAAGGGAGAGAAAAGGGAGAGAGAAAGGGAGAGAGAAAAGAGAGAGAAAGAGAGAGAGAAAGAGAGAGAGAGAAAGAAGAGAGAGAGAAGAGAGAAGGAGAGGAGGATGAAGAGAGAGAAAGGAGAGAGGGAAAGGAGAGGAGAGAGAGAGAGAGAAGAGGAGAGAAGAGAGAGAGAGAGAGAAAGAGAGAGAGAGAGAAAAAGAGAGAGAGGGAAGAGAGAGAGAGAGAAAGAGAGAGAGAGAAGAAAGTAGAGAGAGGGAGGGGGAAAGAGGAGGGGGGAGGAAAGGTGTGTGTATATGTATGTGTTGTGTATTGTTTATGTATTATGGAGGCAAGACCTATGTATGCGACAAGACCACGCGCACCGTAGACTGTATATATATGTATGTTGTGTATGATTATATATGGTATTGTTGTGTTACTTATTGTGCGCAACAGAACTAGCACGTACTGATATAGAGAATATATATGAAGAAAGGAGAATATAGAGAAGTTATATAGTAGTAGCCATGTAGTTTGATGGAGATAAGTAATTTCTTTTTTTGTAGTTTATTCTGTTTTTTCTCACCACTTCTAAGAGCACGTATGACCGACGTATAGCATGCTATGACTTGTACCGATGTTATAGAGAAGAGAGAAGGGAGAGTAAGGAGTTTATTCGCACCTCATCCCGAAGCTACTTCCTTGCCATGGAGAATGATTTCTGCCGAAGTTTTCCTCCCTATTTGTGCTGATGTTGTAGGACACCGGTGTGATGCTATTCATTATTTGATTTAATGTTATGTTAATTCTCTTGTCTTCTATTGGCGCATGTCCTCACTCTCTCTCCTCTGCCTCTCTAGACTCTCGACTCTCTCTCGACTCTCGAATCTCGTACGAGTGTACGAGTCTGAGTCCTCGAGATGACTAACAATCTGAGAAGAGTATAAGCGGAAAATTTTCTACCGGAGTCACATCTCTAACTTTTTCTCTGAGTCTGCTTCATCTCTCGCTATATCTCATACACTTGTACTCATCTTCTCTTCTCTACTCTTCTCACACATATCTATGCCATCAAAACATATCATCACTAGCATACATACTTTCCTTCTCCTGACGTTACTCCACGTCAGCCTCTCTCTGCACGTGCTTCTGATCTCATATATCGTCTCGCTCTTCTGTCTCGCTCTTTGTAGCGCGTCGTTATCGTCCTCTTGCTTTCACATCTCCTCTTACTGACTCTCTCCCTTTGCTCGCGTCTTCTTCATCCTCTCTCTCTCTCTTTCTCTTTCTCTCTCTCCCTCTCGGCTATATGGACGTCCAGAGGTAAATCGTATCTATCTCTCTCCTTTTTTGCGTAGGCGCAAAATACTGTAGCTCTCTCTCGTGCAATCTCTACTTCTACGTTCTGTCACTCCTTCTTCTCCTTTTTCGGGTCTCTTCTGTCACTGCTCGAAAAAATTCTTGTGAAATAAAAGAGCCAATGCCCCTGCACAATCTTGTTAAGGTAACGAACAATTAAGGATTGTATTTGAAATTGAAGGAAAAAATTTATTGGCTGAAATCTAACAAATGCCTGAATAACTTATAAAAAACAATTAAAGACAAAAAAAGAGCCCACCAAATGAATCATAAAATGAGAGGATAATTGGCTAATAAGGAGAAAGAACTTCACAACATTAAACCATTGTACGAATCTCTCATGAGATGTTATTATTGTTATTATATTATTTTGTTATTGTATGAGCAGTAAACGTGAAGGACGAAAAGACAGTGCACAAAGAACGCGAGAAAAAATCTTCACTCTAGCGGCATGATTCTGGGGTTT